TTCCTCAGGAAGAGCTGCTGGATGTTGTAGCCTAGCGTACTTTTCATTTTCCTCCCTTATTTCTGATTTTCTATTGCCTGCTATTTTGGTCAAGACTTGGAAGAAACCTGAAAGCAAATGTGAAGGATTTCCCATGGGGAAACTACTGCAGGAGAAAGGAGAAAGAAGCAAGTCTGGATCTGGATCTGGATCTGGATCTGGATTGATATTTGAGGTGTTACCTCATCGAGGAGAAGCCTTGCTTGACTTTGATTTAATCATTCATGTACTTTAACCATAGTTAAAGACTCTGCCCTCATGGTCATCACCGGCAAGAAAACTCGAAACATAAAATGTCAGAAAACCCCATCATAGAAGACATGAAATGACCCTAATACCTTGCAAGCCCCTGTAGCGTGTAGGTGACACAAAATTGGTTGTCAATTGTCTCCCAAGCCGCCCTTGGTGCCACCTGCTGATTAGGGACTTTTCTTTCCTTTTGTTTTTTTTGTCAGAGTTCTTGATCTTGAATGATATTGAGACTGAAATTTATTTATAATGCCTATAGGAGTTTCAAGCTGATTTCAGATCAACGGACTTTAATCCATACTCATATTATCGTTTATTATGAATGAAATAATTATTACTATTCAAAAAATAAAATTTGTCTCCAATTTTCACAACTTCAAAAAAATAATTGTGTTACAATCTTTTTGCCACCCCCAATCTGGAAATGTGCAAACCTGTCATAAGATCACTCACTAAGCTTTTCAAGAAAGTTTTAATATCAAAGACAAAGACATCAAACTCCAATGAGTGGAACTTCGATTCTTCTATGCAAATTAAAATCCAGGCCTTACAATTCACCAAGAAGCAAGAAAACGCCAATTAGAGCCCACAAATTAATTTCCATTTCTGTTTTCTTGTTTGCATCTATGTCAGCTCTTTTTGCTTCTTTTTTTCTTTCTTAGAAATTATTTGGTTAGGTGTCCGTTTTAGGAAGAAGAAACCATCCATCACAATCATAGCTAAGATATGAACAAAGAGATTGAGATTTATAAACTATGTTAGTTACATCAAAGAGGATTAGGAATAAAGATAAAAGAGTGAGAATTTTTCATTTCAGTTGTTATTATATTTTATAATCTAATCTTAATTAAATTTATATTCATAATTGACTTATTTTGATTAATTAAAAAATTATGTCTTTTAAGTCAATTTTAAATTAGTATTAATATCACAAACTATGATCAGAAACAGGAATACAAAATGATACTTCTCCGTACATGCATTTACCATGAGGATCAACATCCACCAATTCGGAATCTGCTTTCTCTTGCATCTCCAACGCAAGCTCTAGCATCAGCTCCACTTCACCCACGTCGGGCCGTGTATCTCCTTTCTCACTGGTACAGCGATAGGCAATATCCACGAATATCTTGAAACATCCTGGAGCTATCCTCCCCATCAGATATGGATCAATGATATTGTAAATGGTTCCTTCGCCTATGCACCGACGAACCCAATGAACTAGAAATTTTTCATCCTCGTCTAATGTTGGATCAACGACTGGTCTAGCACACAACACTTCAAATAAAACAACCCCAAATGAGTAAACATCGCATTTTTCTGAAAGTTCACAACCCTTGTTATGCTTTGGATCCACATAGCTGGCCGTACCCACCAATCGTGAGTCGATTTTTTTCAAAGCTTTTGACGTGCTAGAGTAGGAAGGTTGTGAACGCACCTTGGACAATGTGAAATCAGAAAGCTTACTCACCCATTTGTCGTTCAAAAGAATATTGCCGCTATTGACGTCACAATGAATTACCGCATGCTTTACTCCAGTATGAAGGTAATGTAATCCACGAGCCGCACCAATGCATATCTTTAGCCTGCGCTTCCATGGGAGTGGATTATAATCAGAACCATAAAGATGATGAAGGAGTGCCCCGTTTCTCATGAATTTGCATACAAGGATCATCCCGTCCTTATCATTGCAGAACCCGAGAAGAGACACGAGATGTTCGTGGCGCAGCTGGCAGAGCAACTGCACTTCTGTTCGGCACTCATCGGGTCCTAATGCTGTTAATGGACTGAAGCGTTTGATAGCAGCCAAGTTTCCACCATCGACAATCCCTTTGTACACCTTTCCAAAACCATATTTACCGATTAGAGATTTTGGATGGAAGTTGTTGGTAGCAGCTTGGATCTCGGTTAGAGAAAATTGACGGCAAATTTCCTCAGGAAGAGCTGCTGGATGTTGTATCCTAGCCTGCTTTTCATTTCCCTTACTTATTTCTGATTTTCTATCACCTGCTGTGAAGCAACTTGGAAGAAAACGTAAAGGATTTCCCATGGGGAAGTAGTGAAGGAGAAGGGAGAAAGGAGCAAGTCTGGACAGAGATTTGATATTTGTGGTTTTATTTCATAGAGGAGAAATCTCCTTGACGCTGCTTTTATCATTAATGTACTTAAACCATAGTTAAAGAGTTTGCCTTCATGATCATCACCGTCTAGAAAAATCTAAACTTAAAATGTCAGAAAACCCCAACGTAGAAGGCATGGAATGACCCTAATACCTTCATCAATTTCAAAGTGAGAAACTTCTCTTGAATTAAGGGAAGGTCTCCACATCTTGCATGCCTCATGAGCCCATGAAGTGATAAATTTAACCTTAATCTCGTTATCCCAGTGTGTAGGCTTCATGTTCCATGTCTTTGTCCTGCTCCCCTCAATCAAGAAAGTGGGAGTTTTGGTGAAAATTTTACTGCAAGCCCTGTCCGAGCAGGTTAAGCCTTTTGTATTTGTACAGGAACTTCACCACCAAAGCTTGAGTTTTATGTCAATAAAGTCTTTGACCATCGTAGTCTAAGACTTTGGTTGGGCATACTTGCTTTGGTTCGAATAAATAACAACCACTTTTCAAAAATATATATATGGTCAAATTAAATATATAATTTATAAATAAAAAATATGGTATAATTTTGTTTAAACATATGAAATTTGACATGGTAATGTTCACCATTGATCTTTCTTAAGATTTATGTCAAGACATAAATTTCGTTCATAGTGTTCTATATTTATAAAAAAGAAATCTGAGTAAATTTATTTTTCTAATCATATATAACATTTTTCGAGATCAAGTGAGACATGAATGATTTTAAAAAATCAAAAAAATTTAAAATTAAAAATTAGAGATCACTTCAAATTTTGAATGAAAAATTATAGAATATACCCGATTTATAGAAAAGTAGGTGCCTATAGAGAATTGGAATTTCTTGACTCTTTTGTCTTTGTGTGGATCTTCCATCTCAATCCATCCCTTAGCCTCCTTATACTTCATTCATAAGTAGTAATATTTTCTAGAGCAAGCTTGAAGAATGCTTCAGGTTATCACTTAGCATAGACCCACAAAAACAAAACAAAAAAAAAAGAAATATGGATTGATTAATATGTGATTTAATCCAATCTTATTTAAATTTATATTCATGTGTTTTAAATTAGTATCAATATCAGAAACTGTGGTCAGAAACAGGGATACAAAATAATACTTCTCTATACATACATTTACCATGAGGATCATCATCCACCATTAATTCGGAATCTGCTTTCTCTTGCATCTCCAATGCAAGCTTTAACATGAGCTCCACTTCACCCATCTCATTGATACAACAATAAGCGGCGTTCACGAATGTTTTGAAACACTCTGGAGCTATCCTCCCCTTAAGATATGGATGATATTATAAATGGTTCCTTCGCTATGCAATGACGGACCCAATCAGCTAGATCTGCTTCATATCGTCCAAGCTTAGATCAAAGACCTTTCTAGCACACAACACCTCAAATAAAACAACCCCAAATGAGTACACATCACATTTTTCTGAAAGCATACCATAAAGGGAATACTCTGGATCCATATAACCGAAAGCACCCACCATTCGTGAGTCTATGTTTTTCAAAGCTTTTGGCGAGTCAGAATAGGAATGAGGACGCATCTTGGATAACCCGAAGTAAGAAAGCTTACTTACCCATTGGTCGTCCAAAAGAATATTTCAGCTACTGACGCCACGGTGAATCACCGCATACTTTGTTCCAGTATGAAGGTAATGTAATCCACGAGCTGCGCCAAGGCATATCTCTAGCCTCTGCTTCCATGGGAGTGGATCATAATCAGAACCATAGAGATGTTCACGGAGTGTGCCGTTTTTCATGAGTTCGTATACAAGGATCATCTAGTCCTTATCATTGCAGATCCCTATGAGAGACACGAGATGCTGGTGGCGCAGCTGGCAGAGCAACAGCACTTCGTTTTGAAACTCCTTGAGTCTTTGTTTTGTAGTTGATTCTGCAATTGGTTTTGCATCTTTATACAAGCGTTTGACAGCAACCAAGTTTCCATCATCGACAATCCCTTTGTATACCTGTCCAGAACCACCTCTAACGATAAGCAAGTTTGGATGAAAGTTGATGGTAGCAGCTTTGATCTCGAGTAGAGAAAAATGACGATGACGGTAAATTTCCTCAGGAAGAGCTGCTGGATATTGTGTCCTACCCTGTTTCCCCTTACTTGTTTCTGATTTTCTATGGCCTCCTGTTTCCATAAAGACTTTGAAGCAACCTGAGAAAAACTGTGAAGGATTTCCCATTGGGTCAGTAGTGAAGGAAAGAAGCAGCAAGTCCTGATCAGGATTGATATTTCTGGTGTTATCTCAGCAAGGTGAAATCTTTGTTGACTTTGCTTTTCGCTATCATGTACTAATTTAACCATAGTTAACGACTGTGCCTTCATGATCATCTCCATCGAGAAAATTCTATACGAAAATGTCAAAAACCTCCCATCGTAGAAGTCATAGAATGACCCTAATACCTTCATCTATTTCATAATGAGAAACTTCGCTTCAATTAAAAGAAGGTCGCAATCACATCTTGCATAAACCCTTATGGGTGATACAACCAATTGTCACCAATTTTCACAACTATTAAAGATACTAGTGCTCCAATCCTTTTGCCACCCCCCAAATCTAAACTGTGCAAACCTGTCATAAAATCCTTCACTTGCTTTTCAACAAAGTATTAATATCGAAATCAAACACATCATATTCCAATGGCCCTAATCTTGCCATGGGCAAGACAAGTGGAACCTTGACTCTTTATGCAAAAACAATCCAGGCCTTACACTTGACCAAGAAGCAAGAAAAGGCCAAGAGCCCACAAATTAATTAATGTTCATTATAACTTTCTTGTTTGCATCTAATTCAGTTCCTTTTGGGGGGGGAATTATCTGGTTAGGTGGTCCGAACCAGGAAGAAGAAACCATTCAATCACAAACATAGATAAGATATAAGCCAAAAAAGTGAGATTATAAATTACAAGTCAGATAAAGATATTGGTTCAAGTCGATTATTATATTTGTTTTATAGACTTCAATTTACAAGTTTTTTCAAAAAATTATAAATTTAGTATTTTATCATCGTATCAAAATAGACATCGTGAATACATATTATATTATTAGAAATATCTTAGCTTTTGAGATTAATGAATACGTGGACATAATCTAAATTATTATATATTAACACAAAAGAATTAAACATATTATATTTAACTCAAATTTGAGGTTTGCCTGCTCAAAGTTTCTTTCTTTTCAAATATATTTCATCTGTGAGCATTCAACTACAACTTTCTCTAAAATCAATCAACATGAAAAATAAAATAAAATAATTTTTCCTTAAGAACCCAAATTTTGTGAAACACTTTTCGTTCTTTTTCTTCAATATAAATTCTTTTCTCTTGACATTCAAGCCTTTTATCAAAGAAATCGTGCGCAGTTCTTTAGTAAACTTTACCAAACATGAAAAGGCCCCAAAAGAGTTTGTTCTTCTTTCACTTTCCTCAGGTTTTTCTAAGTAACCAAACAGAGTTAGAATCAAATTCTCACCGCCGGACTCTCTTTGAATTGTTCTGGAAGGAAGTATTCCGGTAAACTTCTTCACGCTCTTCGCTCCAAAGTTGCCTTCTTCAGAGTTCCGCCGTTTTGCAGAGCAATTACGCGCCGTTTCATTTCTTTGGCCATTCAACCAAATTTGCTTTCCGGGCTTTCGCCTCGAGTAGACAAAACGCTCCGTGTCATCGACATTGTTTGGGGCTTAGCCCAGAGTACCTGGCCTTCTGGGCTATAGCCCTTGATCTTTCCTTAATGGGCCATATATATCAAGCTTTCTTTTTCTCCAGTTATTGTGTTTAAAAGGTTGAAACGCATCTATTTAGAATATTATTTATAAAAAAAAAATCAATTCTTTAGTTATTAACACCTTGGTGAATGAAAAGGAGCCTGAATCTTAACATTTCTAGGAAAATCTGAATTCATCCATTGAGAAAAAATGGGGGCAATTTCCATGCAAATCCTCACTTGATTCTAGAAAACAATAAAACATACAAAACAAAATCCAGCATATTCTAAAAATAAAAAGAAAGACCCCATCCTCTTCGATCCAAGCCTTAGCCTCTTCTCACGCTTCATTCACAAGGCAAAAAAGCGGCCACAATTTTCTTCTTCTTTTTTTAGTAATAGTATTATTTCTTAAAAATATAAGGTGACGTTTGGTATTTTACAATGCAATGTAATTATAGGTAATCTAATTGCAAATAATGTGATTGCAAGCAATGTGATTGTAGGGAACATAACATTGTAGTGTTTGATATATAAATAAAATAATGATTAAAATGTAGAAAAGATAACATTGTAGTGTTTGGTTTACAAATATTTTGTTGAGAATATAATATTAATTTTTAAAATTACTCATAATTATTAAAATATAAGTTTAATATATTTATATTTTTTATTATTAATTTTTATATAATATCATCTCTTAAATATATTTTTAATGTCATTTATTTTATTTTTATTTATTATAATAATTTTATATATTTTATTTTTAATATATTTATATTTTTTATTATTAATTTTTATATAATATGATCTCTTAAATATATTTGTAATGTCATATATTTTATTTTCATTTATTATTATAGTTGTATATATTTTATTTTCATTTTTTAATATATTTTTTTATATTATATATTTTATTTTAATTTATTTTACCTATATTATATAAATTTTAATTTTTTATATTTTATTTTGTTTTAATTTTTGATTATTATATTATATATTTTATTTTAATATATTTTATTTTAATTATAATATTATAAATTATTTTTAATAAGGTAATAAAATTAAAGGATAAAATTATTTTTACAAACATTGCAGAGTGCAATGTAATGTGATTGCATTGATTTTGAACTGCAATCACATTATATCCCTTGACTGTAATATAATTATATTGTAATCTTATATTACAATGGTCACTGTAATGTAAATTAATTAAATATATTATAAAAAATGTGTTCTCATT